GAAAGATTGAAAGCAAGAGAAATGGTAGAATTTCCGTATGAATATTCTGTTCCGAAGCCTTAGAATAATTAAAAGAAAAAAAATTCTTCTATTAACAAGTACATTCCGATCAATAATCAAATATTTGAGAGTCTATTATTAATGTAGACTTCGGCATTTCAAATTTAAACACGACGCAGTCCAAGGACGCTTCAGTAACACGACGCAGTCGAAAGGACAACACACACACACACACGTTTAAATGTCTGAATGGTTTCATTGAACTCCTTCAATAAATATATTTGCCAAGAAGTTCAGGGCACTTGGAGCAAAATTGATTGTGATTATTCTTCCGCGATTGAGAACAAGTACAAATTTTACACACACACACACACACGCGCACAGACACACACACACAGATTTATATATATTATCATTGAAAATCCTACAGTTTATAAATGTTGATATTTAGAAAAACAATAAAGAGGGACCTTGTTTATTGAACTTAATCCTCCTCAATAAATATATTAAATTTTATAATATATATATTAATATTACATGAATATGTGTGTGAATGTGCATGTGCGGACACACATACATTTATATATTTGATGCAAAATGTATGTATAGGATAAATATATATATATATATATATATATATATATTTTTTTTTTTTAACTGTCCTCGATAATTTATTTACACGATTATTTCCCTCCCCGTCGTTATAAATATATCCACTTGTTTGTTATTTTAGTGTGTTTCCCTTTTTTTTTTACAAAGCTCTTCATTATCGTTAATATTCTTTTTTCGCTGATCCAACGATTGTCTCCTGATGAGATGTTGGCTGAAAGGGCCCTAGAGACTTTTAAAATTAAAATCAATGCATTCCTTGTTTTTAAATCTATATATAAATTTTGTACCTCCAAACAGTTGTTTATATATATATATATATATATATATATATATATATATATATATATATATATATAAATCTTTTCATACCAAAAGTAGATTAGTAAAGTTAATGATATAAAATGCCGAAATGACTTCGCTAACAAAATTTTAAAGGTGCATTAACCTACAAATCACTCGAAGAATGTTATGATCCTTGTTTTTTAAAAATTATAAGCTGTATAAATCTTTCTTTAATACGCAAGTACTTTTGACTGTACATTCAGTCATCTTCAGGCGTGGAAATTATTTTGTTTTTGGTAAAATTCAGGTAGCATCCAAGACGAAAAAATATAATGTGAATCGAAATATGCTTTTTTAAAAATGTGTTATTGATAACAAATACAAACTTTGTATACAACGCTAAGGTTGAATTTTTTTGAAAATTTAAGGGAATGCTTTTTTTACTAATATGGTAATTTGAGAATTTTTTTTTTGTAGGAGTTTATCAGTCAATATGGCATGAACTAAATTGTTCAACAAATAGAGTAATGTCTCAGTTGTTATACCGAAAATTTGCACGTCGGATCAGTTCTTTTAACTCAAATTTGTGATACAGTTCAATTTATATTACAAAGAATCAATTCATACCAAAAGTAGATTAGTAAAGTTAATGGTATAAAATGGCGAAATCCCTTCACTAACAAAATTTTAAAGCTGCATTAACCTATAGATCACTCGATCAATGTTATGATCCTTATTTTTAAAAATTATAAGCTGTATAATTTCTTTAATACGCAAGTACTTTCGACTGTACATTCAGTCATCTTCAGGCATAGAAATTATTTTGCTTTTGGTAAAATTTCTTCTCGGGTCTAATCATTTTTTTCTTTTCGGATGATAAATTATAGCAACATCTACATGCAAAAAAAAAAAAAGGCTAAAAATAATGGAAGCCTTAATAATGAAAACAAAACAAAAAACCAACACTTAATAATATTAACTTTGAACATAGACACAATATCTTGACCGTGTTTTGAAAAATGAAAACATTTTATAAAACTTACACACAACAAGCTATTTCTTATTTAACAGTTAAAATATTTGATCCTTGAAAATGGCTAAATGTATAGCCGAAAGCGCTCGGATAAAAAGAACATTCGGACAGTTTTTATATAATTTATCATCCGAAAAGAAAAAAAATAAGGGATCGTATAAGAAATTGTATAAAATCTAAATAAAAGCAATTTGTCCGTCGTATTCAATGAAATGTGCATGAAATATATATATATATTCTTATGGTCCAAGTTCCTTGTACCACGGTGATGGTCCAAGGTTAGAACCAATGAAAGAATAACACAAACACAGGTATAGAATACAAAGATATATTACAACAGAAATATAATACAAAGAAGTATTAGTAATGACTATCAGATTTGGTTAGAGTGAACTATCTTGTCTCGAAAAGTATCACTATTCCTATGTCCTTACAATATGCTCTCAATTATCTCTCCTCGTCTTACAATATCTGCTCATACCTCTTGAGAGGCGCAGTATTTATAATGGCAGGAATAGTCCATTATTATTATGGGTAAGTTCCCCATAACATATATATATATATATATATATATATATATATATATATATATATATGTGTGTGTGTGTGTGTGTGTGTGTGTGTTATATGCAACCTTTTCCTAGAGACAATACCCGTCCACGTGAGTATCTCTGGGATATGTCTGCTAGTATGAGAGCAAGATAATAATAATGATTTATATAGTCAATACTTTCTTGCAACGCAAGAACATAATACTATTTCTATAAAATTGAGTAATAAGTTACTATTTTTATTTTGATACTGGCAAGGACACCAAAATTGACTTCAGTAGCTGAAAATATAATTATTTCGGGATGTCCAAAAATGTAATCTGATATCGGCAAATTTTCACCATCTTTGTTGTTCACGTTATAAAATTATTGTTATCGATTGAAAGTTCCTGCTTTATTTTACGAAAAAAAAACCAAAACAATCCTAGTTTAACGATTTTTAACTCGCCTAAACCAGGATTCTGTTAGGTCCATTCTATTTTATTTACATTTATTAACCTTAACCGACACTTTGAGGACAGCGTAAATCGTCTGTTGAATAAATTGTCAAAAACACGTTATACTTTAATGAAAAATTGTAGACGAATTCTTTCTCCGGAAAAAAAAATGTACTAATGTCAATGCACATGATCACTTCCAATCTTATCATTTCTTTTTCTGTGTAAACAAGTTTTAGTTCATAATTAAAATGCTTCATTTTTCAAATGAGTCCATTTTCTGTCCTGAAAGTGGTAACCATCACAGCATTTAGATCACAGATTACGAGGGACGGCTATTAAGCAATGCGAATTAATCAATATTGGCATTTTAACCCTTTCCCCGGCGGAAGCGTAAAAACGTATATACACGTTTTTACCGAAAGTGTCTTATTCAGACATGGACGAATAAACACATCCAAAACATAACGTTGCACATTGCATATAATCCACTAAATAAATTTATATTTTTTTAAAGCAACATTTGCACAAACCACAATAAAAGGCTTTATCCGAAGACATTTATTATTTCGTCGAAAAGCTAAGGAGACGGAATTAATTTAAAGGCGAATAAATCCTGTGTTAAAATTTCTTTTTTTTGTTTTAATGTGCCGTGTCCTTTCAGGACGTATGCGATCATGGCTCTCCACTTCGTCCTATTCCTTGCAGATCTTAATAAGTTTCGTCCCTCTGCCCCCACCCCCCAGACTACATTTTGTCATCCACCTGCTTAAACCCGCCAGGTATGTCATGCGTTGCTTTCTCTTGTCTCTCTTTCTCTCTATTCGACCTGTGAGTATCAGATTCTCCAAGACTTCCTTTCTCATTACGTGTCACAGAAACTTCAGCTACCTCTTCCTGGTGTTAAGTATAAGCCTACTTCTTGCTTGCATCCTCTCCAAAGCCTCATCGTTGCTCACACGCTTGGTTCATGATATCCTCAGCATATTTCTGTAGAACCACATCTACGTCACCTAGAGTCTCTTAAATAATTTATAATCTGGTTCAATCTCAGGAGATTTCAGAAGTTTCCCATTGCCTGGATCGAAAGCGGTTCTTAAAGAGAAATGGATGCAGATAATCAGGAACCTTGATAGTTACGCATAAAAATGAGTATATTAAAATATTGTTCCACGGTGTGTGGTCAGTCTGTTACCGGTGTACTACGCGAAATCGACGACCCTAGTCTGTTCTGTTTATGTCAGCACTTGAGAAAACATGCATCCGTCTTTTCTAACTTTAGATATGGGGATAAATAGAAGGGTAGACTGGGTTTTATAGCCTTAGATGAAGAACTACTATGAAATAAAAAGAAAAAAAAAACTGGAGATGACAACGGGATGTCCATGACGTTTTGGCTGTTGTACGCTACGGCCTTCTTTAAGTGATATACTTTCTAATTTTGGATGGGACCCTTTATTTCGTCAACTGGGGTAGATACTTCTAGTTCCACGCGTCATGCCTTTTCTGGATATTTGAGTTTCAGCTATTCACTCTTTAGTAACTCAACTTTACAAGTTTTTGTTCCCCTCTGCCGTGGCCAGGTATTGAACTCTCAACTCTTTGGGTCAAGTTATCGGGTTACTTCAAACAAACGTTGCTTGTGGTAATCCGGTAGACGAAGTAAAGGGAACGGTGCGAAATTCCAACGTATAAAACCTGAAGATGTCTGGAGCGTACAACGGCCGAAACGTCGTGAATATATCAATAAAGATCAGGACAACAGTCCGAAAAATGTAAACAGTAGAAATATGTTTCAATTTATGTTTAAATAATGGGTAGATATTTATGCCGCACGCATCATGACCCCCCCCCAAAAAAAAACAAAAATAAAAAGATAAAATAAACAATTGAAGCATACAAATTTGTTTTTATAATAACTGCATAAGATTAATTTTGGAGATTACACAACTTTGGTGGGTTCCTTAAATATTGGTTGACAATTATGGAAATGTTTCCGATATCAATATTGCTTGACCGTCATACTTCGAATACGACGGGAGAGTACCATCAGAACAAGGTACGTATTTGAAAGAGCAGATAACACTAAGGAAGCTTCGTTTCTTTGGAAGGACTTTCTGCTGGGCCAAGTGGAGAGAAAATAGCGCCAGAGAACACCATGTCTTGATATAATGATAGTAAGAAGTGTACAGTAATGACGGTGTCTGAAGCTGTATGGGCAGCATCAGACAGAAAGAGATAGAGGAGGGTCGTGACCACAGCGACGTAAAATGCGATAACTGAATAAATGATAATGATTGAGAATATCTGATGTTTTCGCAGACAATTTTCCATCAAAGAATTTGACATGGCCAAGCATGATCAACGATGACACCAATTGTTGTATATGCCATAGAAAAGACCTACATGTAGAAAGATCTCTTCCAACGTATCCATAAAATAAAAGAAGTCATGCAATATTACTCACCGAGTTCATGCCTTCCAAGCCGATGCTGTTGAGCGAACCAAGTTCTGTGTTTCATCTTTCGAAGCGGATAATGTTCTGGAAAAAATATTTGTTTATTTGTTTGATTGTTTTTTCCAGTGAGGTTCGTCTGCAGGTTTTCCCTGCTAGGATTACCCAAGATTCCTGTTCCGGCTGACATGTTCCGGTTTAGCCTGGTTCTTTCGAAGGCAGCACCTTCTGTCGGGTTAATGTCCCTTTCCATGTCGTAGAGGTCGAGATCGTCTCCAATGTCACGAGAATGGTCACGGAATACGCTGGAAGCGTTTTGATCTCGTCTCCTCTCCTCAGCGAACCGGGCATCGCTATATTCGGAATAATCGGATAAATCTGCTTGGTTGCCGTAAATATAATCCCGCGGGGTGGGACTTGAACTTGGAATCGGAGTCGTTGGGACTGCCTTCGTTCCTGCGAAAATATAAGTTATTAGTGAGAGAGAGAGAGAGAGAGAGAGAGAGAGAGAGAGAGAGAGAGAGAGAGAAAGAGAGAGAAAAGTTATTTAATAATTTAATTGATTGGACTTACAGTAAAGCAGTTCTTTGTTCGTTAATGAAAAGAAAGGATTAATGAAGAAAGAGAATCGAGACTTCATTAAACGTCGAGAGAAATTGTCTTTGAGAAATGATTCTTTAATCGCGTACAATGGTCAAAAATCGGGAGAAGCAGGAATAATTCTTCGTCCCTATATTATAACTTTATTTACACTGTATTTTTTTTTACTAATAAACAAAAACAGAATGAAACACTTCATAAAGTTTACTCAGTATGTGACCCTAAGAGATTCTGGTAATTTTGATATGTCACTGGATCCCATAAAATGCTCTCTTTTAACTTACACCTTGTGCAAATTAATTATACAGGAAGATGTGGAGGGCCATGATCACCTGAACCATGTGCAAATTAATTGAAACAAAACGAATAATTCCATTATTATTTACATTTTTTTTCATATTAGTACATGGTATATCCATTCCACGAAGTCATTCCTTGCAGAGTGACCACAGATTCTCAATTGGATTTAAATCAGGAAAGTTTCCAGGCCAGTCTATAGTACTTTGATTTGCTCACTGGTAAGGCTTGCCAGTGTGTTCGTGCAGCGTTACAATTTTCCTACGCTTCCTTGGAGTAACGTCCATCGCATACAATGGCCGTAGGACAACTAATCGACAGTCGAGACAATAGTGTCTGGGCGTGATGAAAATCTGATGCAATCACATTTGACAGTATAGCTTTCAAGGCCCAACAAATTTCATTATACAACTCGAAAATAGTTTCATATTACTGTACACCATTGAAAATTATATAATCTGAGGAAAAAATACAAATCGATTACATTCTGTCACTCCAGTGGGTCTAACACTGACCGGTGGAAGAAAGGAAAATAAAGCAGTTGTTTCAATTGATTTGCACAAGGCTTTAAAAGTGGAAAGTTTTCGGCCCAATAAGAAAAGAAAAAAAAAACTCACGCACATGTTGAGTCAGCTAAGAACTGATTAAAACGAAGCTTCAATCTGTCACATAATTTTGTTCCCCTATATTAAATGGTTATTTAAAAAGGATGGACCGATTTCATGACGCCTTCCTTCAGTCCTCAAGCATCGTTATGGAATGAGTCAGTGACAATTTGAAAGATAAGTTATCTAAGTTTTGAATGACTGCCACAGGAGCGCTGTAGTCGCGTCGTATTTCCGGCAATGTCTCGTTGTTTGTTTACCTCCGGAATGGCGAGTCAAAATGTGATCGAGTTTGCGAAAACAAATACGGTTGTCACGGTGCAATGTCATTTTTGAAGCCAATTCGACATTAATCGGTCCTCTCCTAAGAACATTCAGCGGTGGTTTAAATAGTTTTAAGAGACTGGGTGTCTGTGTAAAGAAAAACGTCCAGGATGACCAGGAGTTTCGGAGGAACAAGTGGCGAAAATCCGTACTGCGTCTGAGGGGTTTCCACAAATCGAGTTAACCGTGAGTTTGCCATCTCTCAATCCTGTGTCTGGCGCGTGCTAAGAAGATGTCTACATTTCGACACTTTATAGACTAAGCCACGTTCAGGTACTTACCAAGACTTTACTCTTTGTGCTTGGCCTGCGAGATCCGCAGACCCCACCGTGTTTGATTTTTTCTTGTGGGGACACGTAAAAGATCGCGTTTATGTTCCACTGCTACCCACTAACCTCGATGACCTTAAACATCGAATAACAACAGCGATCAACTCAGTTGATCTTGATATGCTGATACGAATCTGGGAGGAATTCAATTCTCTTATCGCATTGATATTGCCGAGCTGAAAGTGGTGGTCACTTTGAACACTTGTAAAACAGGAAATAAAAGTTGATTGTGAGTAGAATACTTGTGACTTGGCTGGAGTTTTCTATTGATTTTCCTTCTTAAAATATTGCGTAATGAAAGTGGTCCATTCTTTTTGAATAACCATTTATTATTAGTGTCCTGTTTTATTACTACTTATCGGTCTTAATTTCTTATTGTGTTTAATAAAATCTACAGTAAGAAATCCGTCACATCACTTTTATTCTAGTATCTTATAAGGCAAAATTCAGGCAATTTTTCACAACATTTATGAAAGTACATTGTTCTATTTTATTGTTAGACATTTTTGTTAATCTTTTATTGTGCCTCATAAGATATACGGTAAGAATGAATCTTCTATCCGTCACAATGACATTTATTACTTTATTATTATTAGAATTGTTCTATTTTATTGTTAGACATTTTTGTTAATCTTTTATTGTGCCTCATAAGATATACGGTAAGAATGAATCTTCTATCCGTCACAATGACATTTATTACTTTATTATTATTAGAATTGTTCTATTTTATTATTAGTTATTGTTATTAGTCTCTTATTGTGTCTAATAAAATCTATGGTAAGAACGAATCTTCTATTCGTCACAACGACTTTTATTAAAGTACATTGTTAGAATAGTTCTGTCTTATTATTATTTATTGTTATTAGTCTCTTATTGTACCTAATAAATTCTTTGGTAAGAACGAATCTTCTATCCATCACAATGACTTTTATTACAGTATATTGTTAGTCTTTTTCAGTTTTATTATTAGTTATTGTTATTAGTCTCTTATTGTGCCTAATAAAATCTATGGTAAGAACGAATCTTCTATCTGTCACAATGACTTTTATTACAGTATATTGTATTAAACTTTATTAAAGTATATTGTTAGAATTATTATCTTTCATCAATAGTTATGTTTTCAATTTTTATTGTTTCGCATAAGGTCGACGATGAATACGAGTTTTCTGTTCCATAAATTTATCACATTTTATTGTTATAATCGCTTTATTTTATTATTAGTCATTATTGTTAATCACTTGCGCTTGATAAGATCTATGATAAGAACGAATCTTCTCTCTTTCTGATAATTCTATTACAGTATATCGTTATAATAATTTTCCTATTTTAGTATTATTTATTTTTGGTAATATTTTTGTAACTATATATATATATATATATATATGTATGTGTATGTGTGTGTGTGTGCGTGCGTGTGTGTGTTGCCCATTTGTTAGATTAAGCTCTGAACCTTTGTATCATAGAAATGATTAAAGATACCTTACTGGAATTTTGCGAGATGTTTATAACACTATTAGACTCTACTTTTACCAATAAGAATGTATAATTACTCTCCAGGCTTAGCAGAAGAATCGTGATGAAATCGATCATGAACGAAAATGACATGTTCATCATTAATTAATCATAGCGTCATTAAAGATTGAAATAAAATTCACATATATATATATTATATATATATTATTTCCGGTTCATTTTGCAACTTATTTAAGATGATCTTTGCCCTCTCTAAACTTTTAACCTTCTATCCTGGAGTAACAAGATGTCTCACACGTTTCACCTACCATTTCATTTTCAAGTTTTTTCACTGGTTTTGTGACTGTCATAGCTGAAACTCTTCTCTCAAAAGCAGAGCGTCTCATGAATTGAGTTGGATCTTTTCTAATTGATCTCTTTAGCTTTAAGTTGTAATGATGATCCCTCTTTTTTCTGTGATCTCCTGATTAAGTTTTCTTCTCTATTGTTCCCCTATTTTTAATATGTATTCACCATTCTCATGAAGATTTTTGAATGGACTTTGATGATGGAAGCCAGAGTATGAATGTTGGTACCATTACTGAAGGCCTGAATGATCTTTTTCCTCTCAACATTGCTCAGCTGAGAAGTTAGTGGGGATGACACAAAACAATTTAACCTGTTATCTTTCGCGTTGAATAACTGAAAGGGTCTTTTAGTGATTCTTAGGACAAACGATATCAAGATGGTTAAACGACTTATCTGAAAACCTGGAAAAAAGAAACTCAATTAGTTTAATGTTTTTTTTTTTTTGATATTAGACATTTTGTTAGATGGATAATGATGCTGCAACACTATTTGGACAATCCGGTATGTGGATGACAATATATATATATATATATATATATATATATATATATATATATATATATATATACCACATTATGAAATGGACAAAGTCCGACAATTATTTTAAGACAATTTTATGTTTATACATTCTTTTTTATAGATACAACTATTTAAGTAAATGCTCTGTTTATAATAAACAGTATTAATAACAGGATTGAAACCTGTATCCTATACGGAAACCGTCATATAGCCTGACGTGCTTTTACCGATTGAGACACAGAGGGGCGTTTTGCTTAGCAAGGCCGATTTTACTGTTTTTAAACTACAATTCTCCATGATTTTCTCTCCTACATTCATATTCAAATGTAAACAAATGACGTCACACATTATGAAATGGTCAAAGTCCGTCAATTATTTTAAGACATATTTTATAAACAAAAAAATGTTTAATATATATATATATATATATATATATATATATATATATTTTTGATAACGATATATATAACGGCAGGTGGTACTGATTTAGTAGTACCAATAAAGGCATCACAAAAATGAATTTAGTTATCATAGCCGTCCTGGAAATCATGATAAACTACTTCCGGTAGCAACGTCTCTGATCGGAGGTTGGATGTTTTGAGGATCGTAGAAAATTAATTGCTGTTGTTCTCAGGTTCACACTTACCCGTGGTGGTAGCACCTGTTAGAGTTCCAGCTATGTGACCTCCCCCTCAAAAATACTACGAAAATACAAAAATACGTTTTTATATTAAAAATATCGGCTATAAATTTTTATATATATATAAAAAAAAATATTTTTAGTAAAATTACCAACAATACGCACACACTAACAAATTGTAGCGACTTCACCGAAATTTATTTAAAATACTACCAAACAATCACCATGAAAGAACCTTTTCATGACATTAATCCATATAATATTCTACAATTTATTTTGAAATCAAACTCTATTCCGAAATCTGTCTTCAACAAAACCACAACATAAACTATGGCATAAAACATACTTATCACCGCCTCTAGTAATCATATCTACACAAACATATATATGCACAAAAGCTGAGTATTATCTACCATTTATTCAATTGTGAAAGCAGAATAAAATATATCATATTTTTATTGCGTCAAAGCTTCCAAGAGAATTAAATTTCAGCATGAAATGACTCATAAGGTGTTAAGCAGAGGAAATCGACGTTAAGCAGATAAATCAATCAATCGGTTGTCATATCGATTTTTGAAAGATATTGATTTAAAAATTAATCCCAAAACATGAATCTCGGCTGGAGCTGAACAAGTCTTCACTTTCCAGTCTTGATCGAATCAATAAGCGTCTACGCGTTCTTTTGGGTAATGAACTATTTTTCAGCTTACAACCCCTTTCTCAGAAATATATCGTTGCAAGCATCTCTCTACTCCATCGTTATTTCCATGGAAAAATTTCAGACGAGCTATTATTCCCTGGTTCCCTCATCTCTACACTGACTAGATAAGGTCCGCCATGTCCTGTAAATTGATGCAAACCACCTCCGTTTCCTGGGTATTCTTTTAGAAACGAGGAATTCGAACTTCTTCCAAGAAACTGCTTCTTTCTTGAGCAGAAAGATTTTTCCCAACCACTACAATCTTAACATCTTCAAGTCTGCTGTTAACCCTCTACCTTGAAGGTCTCTCGGGCCTTGTAAATCTTAGAAAAATAAAAGAAATAAGTTTTTTCTTTTACCTTTTTTGACTGTTGTTTTTGGTACCGCTCCTGTCGTTGTAGTTGAGAATGTAGCTGTTGTCGGTTGTGGCGTTGTAGTTGTGATTTCTATGGTTGTCGGTGTACCAGTGGTGGTGGTCGTCGACGGTGCCATTGAAGAAGACAGAAACTTCTCTTTTATCGTTGTGGGCGGCTGAAGCGTAGACTTATCAGGGTTGGAACCAGACGTCGTAGTCACTTCGTCTGCCACCTCTTTCGCTATTGCTTTATCCTTTTTAGGTTTCTCGTTGAGGGATGACCTACTCGCTGAATTCTCACACTCTCCAGTACCATTTAAACATTTGGGTTGTCTTTTATCCACTGCGATACGCTCGGAGCCAGATTTCGGAACACTGCCGGGCAAAACCTCGCCTTTGTCTTGAACACCACTTGCAACAATTGTAGTCTCTGGCGGCTGAAGTTTTGTCACCGAGTGTACATTGCTGGTTTCATTTTCTAGTTCTTGGTCTGTAGAACTAGCCAAAAGGCCTAGGGTGCTACTGGAAGCGGCCAGGGACGTCGGCACTGACGCTGACGAGGATGATGTAGCCGACACCAGAAGAGAAACCAGAGGAGTAGATGGACTTGAATTTGAATTTTTTGGGCGGATGTTCAGCGAGGATAAACCCTGAGCAGCCGGTCTATCGCCGGCTATTGGCGGCGATAACGAATCAACTGTTGCAGGCGAATTAACAAGAAAATATAGGCAGAAGACAAGGCATGTCAAGTAATGAAGGTGAAGTCGAGGACCCAATTTTGTGTTACCGGGCCGTTTTGCCATGATTGCCTGCGAAGATCGCATTTTGGAGCATCGGACGGGTCTGTAAATAGAAAATAAAAATTTTCTTTTGAAAAATATGCGTTTACAATATGAAACATTGTAATGTGCAAATCGATTCATGGTTTTAATTTAAGAAAGTACACAGGCCTCGGTGAGGCTCCGTGTGTAGAGAGACTATTTGGTCTTAAACTCAAACCTAACATCAAGTGGAATGCGTACATGCGAGCCATCGCTTATGATTCAGCTAAAACGATCGGCTCCCTGTAGCGCTCCAGAAAGTACCTGACTCCTCATGCCATCCGCTGCAAGAACCAGATCAGGTCCAAAATGGAGTATTGTTGTCATATTTGGACGGCAGATGCGCAGACCTCATTCTACACTCTCGAGGGACTCCAAAAGCGTCTCCGCCTCCTTGTGGGTTACGAACTGTTTTCCGTCCTCCAACCTCTCTTTTACAGGCTGGAGAAGGCAAGACTATATTGCTTCTCGGTCGCTAATTCCACGGAAAGTGATCGGACGAACTCCATGTCAAGGCCCCGTACATTCTAACCTTCACAAGGAACCGCCATGTTACTTACATTGTAGAAACCTCCACCCACTTTTCGTTCTTATTCCATTGGTGAGACTATGTTCCACTTGAACAGCCTCTTCCCGCGTACCACTGCTCTGGGGGAACCGACTCACAAGGACGTTTCCCCGGTCACTACGATCTTAACCTGTTTGTCTAGACTTAAGCCTTATTTAACCGCCTATCCGTACAAACTGCCTCCTAACGTAACCCTCTACCTTGAATGGCCCACGGGCCTTGTACAGGATGGATCTTGCTGTAAAAAAAGAAAATTGTGGGATGCTGAATCCAGAAAGAACGTCCTTTTCCTGCCATTCGCTTTATTTTTTCTTTCGTTTTCCTGCTCCTGAACGTAAGATGTTCATGATATCAAATGGATCTTTACAAAACATGACAAAACCTTTGACATTTAAAGATGTTATATCAGACCCTACGTTAAAACATTCCTGATATCAAATCGATCATTGCAAAACAAGACAAATTCTTTGAGATATAAAGATGTTATATCAGATCCTACGTCGAAAACGTTCCTGATATCAAATCTATCTTTACAAATCATGACAAAACCTTTGACATTTAAAGATGTTATATCAGACCCTACGTGAAAAATATTCCTGATTTCAAATCAAACTTTGCAAAACATAACGAAATCTTTGACATTTAAAATGTTATTCAACTAAATGTCAATATCTAAAACTTTGAGACAACTTTGAAACATCTAATAAAGCACCAAATATTTCAGAAATGGATTACAAATTGGCTAGATCTAATCGTGAATTCTATGCTAACGCTTTATTTTCTCGCACTTTTCGCTTGAGGAATCCCCTTCCAGCTCCAAACTTTCCAGCCAACTTTAATCTTTAGAAAATTAAATGCAATGTCTATTATTATCTACTGTTCTCCTGATGTGCTTCTTTTGTTTCCGTTCGTTAGCAACGTTTCTGTTTCTAATTGTTTCACACTCATTAACCCCTTGTGTCTTAGTGGCTTTACTGCCTTGCATGGGGTGTACCCGATTATGAAAAATATCACAGAAAATTGCATGTTTTTTTTTTTTATCACAAATGTTTGATGCGGATGTTTTTAATGTGATTATATCCAAGGACATTATAATATTTCCATTCATAACTTAGAAGAATATTATTACATTCTCATTATCACGAGGCATTGTCATAATATGAAACACAGGTGTTGAAACGATTGTGAATTAAATAACATACATAGATTTTCGCAGGAGGCTCTCAGAATTAATTTGAACATAGCGGGAAATTTGGCTCTAAACAGTGATTTTTATTTTTTGAAATGGCACAAGATCTGTCGAGCAAAATGTGGAGCTAATCAGTAAAAAATGACTTGGACTCGGCATCCCGTCATTCGTTAAAACAATGTACCAGTTGGCTTGCACCAAAACATAACTCGAACAATTTTTTTTTTTTCCTGAAGGTGTAACCTACTCTACAGTTGTTAGTAAGAAAAATGAGCCCAGGGAACCGTGTTCAATTTGCGACTGAAATATTTTGGATTCACTTCGCAGTAATTTCTTTCGGAAAGGCATGAACCAATTTCTTCCCACCATAAACTGCGCTTTCTAGCCTTGTTTGGCAACTAGTCTAGGAGATGAACATGTCTAAATTCAAAACATTTTGGTAAAACAATAATATTCTTGATATCAAAGAAAAGGCGTAGTGTAGCGGTTATTGGCTCGAAAATGGACTCATCACTTTTCTCTCCAGCTTTGGGTTAAATAGTATTGCAGACTGGATTCTCTAGCGTTTGTTGATATCTACTCTAAGAGAAGACAACTTTGGATTCAAAACCGGCTTAGCATGAGGCTAGTAAGTCCACCCCATAAAATCCACAGCAGTAACACGTAGTGTTGGTAAGACTGTAGCCTTAGAGTAGTGGCCATAGCGTAGTGAGGCTCTGGCCATTTTCTTCACAGATGAATCTAATTTCACTAAGGAGAGTATGTCGGCGCAGTGAGGAGGTAAGAAAAAGAAGTTGTGGAGGGCCATTATCATCTACGTCCTGAAAGAAAACGCCACCTAAATATTTAACTATTGTTAGTACCTGTGTATCTAAGTCAGTCCATACTGTTTTGAAGTTTGTTTAGAAATTCCATGGTGCATTAGGGAGAAAAAAGATCATTTATTTTTATGATGCCAATAGGAGAGAAATTATTATTAGTTTTTTGTTTTTTTATTTGGGAAATTATATAAAGTTAACTATGAATTATATACAGTTAACTATAAATGCTGCATATAATTTCCTAAATAGAAAACTACTAAAATATAAAGTTTTTTCTCTTATTGGTATTATAAAAATAGGTGATTTTTTTCACCCTAATACGCCATGGAATTTCTAAAGTTCAAATCAGTATGGACTGACTTAGAGCCACATAGACTAATCATAGATCTTTAGGTGGCATTTCCTTTTCAGGGCGTAAATAGAGCATTCTTTTTTTTATGTGCCATGTCCTTTCAGGACGTAGGCGATCATGGCTCTCCACTTCCCTTTATCCCTTGCAGCTCTCAACAAGTTCCTTCCCTCTGTTTCCTACCCCAGACCATGTTCTGTCATCCACTTGCTTAAGTCCGTCAGGTATGTCATGCGTTTTTTTCCCTTGTCTCTCTTTCCCTCCCTTCGACCTGTGAGTATCAGATTCTCCAGGCCCTCGTTCCTCATTATGTGTCCCAAAAACTTCAGCTGCCTCTTCCTGATAAGTATAAGCTTCCTCCTTATTTGCATCCTCTCCAAAACCTCATCGTTGCTCAAACGCTCGGTCCATGATATCCTTAGCATCCTTCTGTAGAACCACATCACTGTCGCCTCGAGTTTCTTCTTCATCTTTGAGGAAATCGTCCAACATTCGTCCACGTAAGAGCTCAGTATTCTTTTTTTTGTTACCAAAGATATCCTCCTGTCTCGTAGTACTCTGCCCAACTTTTGGAATGTGTCCTTGACCATCCCGATACGCCTACAGATCTCAGTGTCGCACTTATCGTCCGCTGTCAAGACGTTTCCCAGGTATTTAAACTTCCACGTCTGGTTGATTCTAGTGTTCCCGTCCTTCAGATCGCATTCCGGGCTCATCCTCTTACTGACGACCATACACTCCGTCTTCTTGTAGTTTGTGCTTAGTCCCTTCTTCTCACTCTCCGTCGCTACTTTCTGTAAGAGATTTTGTAATTTCATTTCCATGTCTTCTATCAGTACTGTGTCATCTGCGCATCTTACACTGTTAAGTTTGTGGCCGCCAATGCTAAATCCCGGTAGGATTTCCAATTCTTTCAGGATTGCTTCGCTGTATAGGTTGAACAGGTCGGGTGAGAAGACTTATCCTTGTCTTACGCCCTTTCTATTTTTGTATATTCACTGAACTCATTCCCTATGCGCATGCATGCATTTTCTGCCAATATAGGTTCTTGATTATTCTGATATCTTTCCCGAATATATCAAGGTTGCTGAGCAGTTCTAGCAGATCCTTGTGGCGTACTTTGTCGAAGGCCTTTGCGTAGTCTAACATAGGTACACGTCCTTCTGCATCCGTATCGCTCTTTCTGATAACGTACTGAGCATGAATATCACATTCCTTGTTTCAGTGTCTTTAACGAACCCGCACTGTTCTTGTCCTAACTCTGGCCTGATTCTGCTACAGCATTATGTTCTTCTATTCATGGAAATTATAGTCTCGACCTAAAATTACTTCCAACCCCGTCTTTAACGTAAGTAAATCAGAGTAAAAATAAAACTGAAAATAAACCGACCCCAAATATATTAATGTTCGCTTTTTGTTTTGTTATTATTACCGTGAATTTCTAAATTTCTCCAACAAGTGGATTGGTCCCAATTGAATATCATTCAAGAACTCCGTATTTAATCAGTTTGGATAACTTCCTGTTGTTATGAGGCGTAAAGAACAAAATTTCAGAAGATTTGGAATATCGGCACATTGACACACTTGATCAATAAACATTTTCAAGAATCGATGATAACAAAGACCTTTTTTTCTGTAAGTCTATTAATTTCTTTGAGTTTATGACAAAAATATATCAATTTAGATATTCCTTTCGCGTCATTTTAGGGTAATTTCAAAAATAATAGATATTTGTCTCTAGATTGTTTCAAACAAATATTTGCTTCTCTGATCCGTCACCCTTCGCAATCTTTCACATACATAATGATTACTTTTAATTATTATTAATGTTTGAGTAGGATTTATTTCAACTTATTTTTCTTTTCATTGCAACGACTCAAAACACCATTCAACAGTTAACATCAAACAAAGCAGAACAGCTACTCGAATTTGTGCCTCTTTTTCTCTCGGATATTACGTTTATTGATAATAGCTCTTATATCGCTTCCTCTCCTTACTTGACATTTTTCAAGGTTTGCAGAAGAACAAAGTCAAATATTTAACATTGTTATTTAT